GTATTAAAGAAGCCAAAACACTAATCACCAAAACGCTTACAGAATTATTCTCTGGACATTAGATACAAGAAAGGCCGTCTGATGTTTATTGCAGATGCCCTGAGCAGCTCTTATAGGCTTACGACCGACGATGCTCAACATGATAACCGCAAAAAGCGTGCATTACTAGAAGTGCATCACACGGATGGACTTTCAGTATCACAAAAACGGTTGGAAGAGTTCAAACTGCGCACAACCCAGGACCCAGAAATGCAGCTTTTAACAAGTCAAATACAATAAGGGTGGCCATCAAGCCGTAAAGAATGCCCTAGTCTGCTAATACCATACCATGAAAGCCGAAGCGAGATAATTGAAGAAAACGGGCTGGTCTTTCATGGCGAACGCTCAGTCGTTCCACCCTCACTGCACACTGATATGCTGAAAGAAATACACCACTCACATATCAGAATTAACGGATGCTTAAGAAGAGCCAGAGAGTTGCTGCACTGGCCAAGAATCAATGCTGAAGTAAAAGATTTTGTTTCCAAGTGCAGCATTTGTCAATCATTTCTGCCAGAACAGTGTAGTCACTAATTAATCTTGTTAGCAGTGAATTTCATTCGTCATAATACTATATAAACTTGGTTTTATGTATTTCAGAGCAAACAAGAGGATTTCTTTGCAAGCTAAACCAGTAACAAACTAACAACAACAAAAACAATTTATTCAGTTATCAAATATCAAATAAATTAAAGGAATTCTTCCACCAAAGCGGGTTAACGTTGAGGTTTTTGAATGAAAAACAATCACACGAGTATAACTTAGTTAAATTAGTTACAAATTAGTCAATTTTGAAGGAAATTTGTGAAAGGAAAATCAAAACATCCACATTTTCAATAGGCTTATAAAATGTTTTACAAGTAAACTCGTAGGTATGATTAGTCATTTTCACAAACATACTCACCTACTCTCCATCTCGAAAACTGTTATCAATAAAGAGAGTAAAGCTAAATGAAATGGAAGAGGAAAAGCTCTCAACTTAACTATTTGGCGAAGAAACTAAGCTTATGTGCTTAACTTTCATAAAGTCAATTGCATAGAAACGGGGTTAACTAGCAAAGAGACACGATAATGGGCCCTAAAGGTTCGACTGTTAGTTTTACACATAGGGTAAATCCAGTGCGAGTCCAATTTTCCTATATTTTAGGAGGGTGTCCTTTCATATGTGAAACCAGTTTGAAATATTGCTTGTAGAGATAGTTTACCTGTTCAACATCGCATGCCAACTGTAAAAGGCAAGGAAACACGTGCTCCCACAACTTCTCCATAGGGCTCTATACCAAAGTATGGAAAATAAAGTTAATTGAGCTCACTCGATTAAGGAGATTCCCTTTTAAGCGTCACTGTCTTCCTTTTTGTTTACCTACACCCTCAGGTATCTTGGGGTAGCCTTCATTAACGATGACGAAAGGAAATGCGCGATTATAACGTTAATTTCCATTTTGCAGATAAGCAAGTGTTTTACTTTTTAAACCACTGTATTCGTTTGAAAAATTGCCTTTCAAATGACAACAACGCACCATTTTTCCTTTACAAATGTATAGTAAAGGTTCAAAGACTTTCAATTAGTTTATTACAAGACACTTATTGAATATCAAACTCTGTGCTGCCCCGATTGTTCAAACATTGCATAGCGCTATCCAACGGATAGATTACTATCCAGCAGGTACGTTGTTGAGGAAACCAACTGCATGATCCACTAGATAAACTGCATTATCCACCTTTTGAACAACTGGGGCCTGGAAAATAGTAACCATACCGTGTAGGCTTTTTTAATTCTTTGTCTTACTTTTCGTTTGGCCGCTTTAAACACACTAATAAAGTGTCATCTTTAAATGTGTTCCAGGCCTCGATATCAAGAAATGTGATAAGCTCCATGGTGGTTATAAATGATTAAGTTAAATATCCTAATAATAGATCTTCCCACGGTTTTTTTTTCCAACTTTTGATGTGGACAAGTTAGGGAAAATCCGTCGACAGCACTTGAAAGAGCGCCTTAAAATTAGCAAAATTGCCAAGTTTGAAAGTGATTTGGTGAAAACTGGCGACGATATAGCTCCTCAAAGTGGCGAAATTTTACAGACGTTTGTACGGTGGGGGCACAAACTTCGCCCGCTTAAGACGCATCACTTTTAAACTTGGCAATTTAACTAATTTCAAGGCCCTCTTTCCAGTGGTGTTGACGGGTTTTTCCTCACTGGACAATGTCAAAAGTTAAAAAAGCCGTGGAAGGGTCTATAAGACCAAGCCTGCATCATTTACATTTAAAAAATGTGAATATTGTTGTAAGGAAAATATTGAAATAGTATACTTCAAATGCTGTTACTTACGTTGTTGCTGCCTTGCGGTTGTGTGACACTTTTTCCAAGCATGTAAAGGACAAGAGAATGAAGTGACTCACAGGCAGCAACCTGTAAGAAAGATATAAAGTAAGTTTATAAATATTACGTCTTGTAATGCAGTCCTGACGTGTTGCGTTTTTACCATGATGCGGCGTAAAAACTTTGTTATGCGATGTGTTTTTATCGTAGTGTGTTTGGTTATTTAGCTATGTTTTGAGTTTTTGTCACGATGTAATGTGGTTACGCTTTTATGTGGTCTGGGATCTTAATTAGTTATGTGGTTTGTTCATTATGTGATGTGCTTTTGTCTTTATGTCAGTTCTTGACTGCACTTCCGGTACTAGGAACTGGTCAAATCGCTTTTAAGAGGCGCCCCAGTTCCTGCTCTTCCGCATTGTCAAAGATAAGCAGGCAACCATTCCGATTAGCTTGCGAAGGAAGAAAACTTCACGGAGAGTACTCTGAAGGACCTCAGACTCGAGTCTCTTATTCCAAAATTTGCTGCCGAAAGAATTGAGCCTGAAAATGTATGTCAGTTGTCTGATGACAGCTTGTACGTCTTGGTGTAACTACGATCGGGGATCGTCATTGTATTCCGTGCCCTTTGTGCTTCCAAAAAAAAACATCAGTCTGTGGCTGCAGCTGCTCTTAGCAAGTAATTCAAGGTCAAATTTCCAGAATTTGGAAAGTACAGTTTCACTGGCCAAGCTCGGGAAGGGAATGTTGTTCTCGGTTGAGCAGGCGTTTGTGGGTAGGGACAAAATACAAGCTCCCCTAAAAACGCTTGCGTTGGAGGCTATCCTTCGACAGAACAAATCACAAGTCAAAAAAAAGTGCATTATCTGTAATAAGGAGGTATTAGTGAAGGACCTTAGGTTTCACGTTATGATGTGTTAAACCAGGGAAGGTGTCCTAAGCTCCGAATCCCAGGATGGTGACACCGTATTTCTGTGTTTGCATCAGAGCTATAAAGAATCCAAGAAAGACAAGAAAACAACATTTCTGTGAACTCTGTGGAAGAAAAGCAGGTAGACTTTGACTCTGCCCCCCTTCATGTTCCTTGCCTTACTCCAAGCATCCCGGAGGCCTCAGCCTCAGGGCGGGCTGAAAATCCATATGCCAGCACCAGGATGTCAGCTGTTCTAGCGGCTGAAACACAAGTACTTACTGTTGATGGAATTGTGGACAGAATGGTAGAATACTGTTTGCAAAACAACATAAATAACCCAGTTGAAATTTTGAGATGTCTGCAGAAAGAGATTGTTACTGTGCAACCCCATGAAGTGACAGATGTCACTCAGTGTAGCAGTGGGGAGACTAATTTCATATTAGTCGACAGAAACAAGTCACTTGAAACAGCCTTTGATGAGTTGAAGTCCCATAACAATTACCGGGTAACACTGGAAGTTCAGTTTTACGGTGAGGTAACTAAGTGCATACGAACATTTGGGAAACTTGAAATCCACTTACAGTAATTATAGAGGCGTTCCCTTACCTGAGATCCATTTTGTTGTAGCCATAGGAACAAAACTTTGGGACCACGACTAGTGTGCTTAATGAATGCTGTGTCCTCCTAATACAGTTTTAACTGTTCTTACTCTCTTCAGTACCTTTTCTTTGAAGTGGTAGTTGATAAATGTTATGATATAAGTGTAGATAAAAGTTTACCCCCAATTCTCTTAAACTATTTAAACAACAAGATATTTTTTCCATTTTATTTCAGACAGCCGTAGATTTTGGTGGTCCCAGAAAAGAGTTTTTTCGAATGGCCCTCTCTGAAATAAAGAAGAAATACTTTAACCAAGGAATCTGTGAGCATCTCTCAAAAGACTACTTCATGGTTGGGCTAATCATACGTAGGGGACCTTGTATTGCCAAAGTTTTATTCTACTGCAAGTTGATAATTACTATTATGTTGCTATATAACTACCGCTAGTTTGCTCCTTCATGACATCTTAGATATTTTGTTTCACATAACTCCTAAAATAAAAATTTGTTTACGACTGTAAGACTAGGACAGTATTAGCAACTACACGTAGGCAGTTCTTAATAACAAACAATAGCCAAGTCAGGTTTAGACAAATTTATTACATGCAATGTACAGAATGAGGCAAAGTTATGGTCTCTATGCGATAATTTCCAACCTCATCTATGTATTGGCTTTTTACTTGAGGTTGCCTAGCAGCGAAAGTCATAATCTGCGAGCCACTTTTCTTCTACGCATTTAGGACACAAAAGGGAAGTTGGGCTCCCAGGCGTTCCTAGCAGCGACCATGGAAACTGGGAATAAGAATCGTGATGACTTTCATTGTACGCCAGTGAGACTCGTCATAAGCATGTGATATATTTTCGGCAATGATTGAGGTGATGCGCGTAGTTGATCACGTTCGGGCTTTTTGGCTGAATGCTATCCAAGGTAAACAAGAAAAAAGATATTTTAGGTGCGACAACAGTGGTCATGTATATGCAAGATGATAAGAAGTGTCCTGCTAGGAACAAGGAATGCTTTAAGTGCCACAAGCTAGGCCATCTTGCTTAATGTTGTGAGACGAAGGAGACTAAAAACCCCAGAAGAAGAGGCCTAGTAAACCAAAGGGACATAAGGGAACTGTTAACCAAATGAACTTTGAGGATTATTCATATGACGGAAATGAATATGCATTTACCGTCGTTGATGAGAAACAGCCTATAGTTTCAGTGAGTTTTGAAGGTGTTGACTCTGGTGTAAGTTGTAATGTAATTGACCGTCAATTGTGGGAATCACTAAAACAAAATAAAGTGAAATGTGTTTCTTCGAGTCACAAGAAACAGCTGTATCCCTATGGCAGCAAGGAACCATTAAAAACGGCTGGTTGTTTCACGGCTAAAATAACAGTTGAAGATGTTGCGGTTGAAGCAGAGTTTACTGTAATTGAGGGTAAGGGCCAGGCATTGCTAGGAAGAGACGCATTGCTAAGAAGTCTCAGTCCAAACGTTTGTGTTAACGCTTTGCAAGAAAAAAACTTATTTCAAAAATACAAGTCATGTTTTGAGGGCCTGGGAAAGTTCAAAGATTCCCCGCTGAACATTCCTATTGATCCGCGTGTCAAACCAGTAGTTCAGTCTATGTGTCGTGTACCCTTTAATCTAAGGGATAAGTTGGAAAAAAGCTTGATGAGCTCGTAGACCTTGATGTAATTGAGAAGGCAGAGGGACCAACCCCTTGGATTTCACCTGTAGTTGTTGTTCCTAAACCCAATGGTCTGTTGATATGAGGCAAGCAAACAGTGCAATAGTCAGAGAGCGACACCCCATTTCCACAGTTGATGAAATTCTGCATGATCTTAATGGGAGCACAGTCTTTGCTAAGGTAGACATAAAGTGGGCTTTTCACCAAGTTGAGTTGAGCGAAGAATCAAGACCGATCACCACGTTTGTCACCCATAATGGACTCTTCCGGAATAAGACATTGATGTTTGGGATCAGCAGTACCCCGAAATGTATCTGCGAGTGATGCAACAAGCGTTACAAGGCTGTGAAAGTGTGAGAAACATACATGGTGACATCACAGTGCATGGAAAGACAGCTGAACAGCATAACACACGACTTTAAAAAGCCTTGGGAAGGATCCAGGAAAAGGGTTTAACACTAAACAAGGAAAAGTGCAAGTTCCACATGTCTGAGATCGAGTTTACGGGACATCTGCTTTCCGCACGAGGTATAAGGCCTACCCAAGCAAAGGGTGAGGCAGTCACAGAAGCACGTAAGCCAGAATCGGTAGCAGAAGTGAGCAGCTTCTTGGTTCTTATAAACTTCTGTGCCAGGTTCATCCCCGATGTGCCTACAGTGTCTGAGCCTTTAAGGAGACTCACCAGAAAAGATGTACCTTGTCAGTGGGGCAAGGAACAAGACAAGGCATTCAATGAGTTAAAGAAGAGGCTAGCAAATACAGAAACCCTGGGCTATTTCGACAAGGATGCAGAAACCTGCCTCATAACCGATGCCAGCCCTGTAGGCCTTGGTGCAATCTTGACGCTATTCACAGACTGAAAGAGAAGCTCTGGGTGTTGTATTGGCATGCGAGCGACTACACATGTACTTGTATGGAACAGACTTTGAAATCCTAACAGGTCACAAGCCTCTGGAATTTACCGTTTACTCAAGGAAATCACACCCAAGTGCAAGAGTCAATCGGTGGGTGTTACGATTGCAGCCATACCGTTTTACAGTGAGACACATCCCAGGAAAAGAAAACAGTGCAGATACTTTATCTCGTCTCACAGATCAGCACACCAAATCATGCACGAAACTGTGCACTGAACCCTGAAGAGTATGTGAGGTTTGTCGCTGAAAACGCAACACCGTGCGCCCTATCCACTCGAGTGATTGAATGTGTCTCAGCAATTGACAAAGAACTGTCCAATGTTAGAGAATGCATTCAGAAGGAACAGTGGGAGACACTTGAAAACAAGCGGTAGTCGATGGTCAGGAGTGAACTTTCTGAGGAACTCGGATCATAGTCCCTTCTAGCTTGCGAGAAAGACTACTTAATCTTGCTCATCACAGCCATTCAGGGATAGTGTTAATGAAATACTGACTCTGTGCGAAAGTTTGGTGGCGAAATTGTGACAAGGATGCTATACGATTCTGTAAGTGATGCCCTCCTTGCCAAATGGTTTCAATGCCACCACCACCAGCACCACTCTGGAGAACAGAGCTCCCATCAGGTCCGTGGCAACATATCTCAGAGATCTTATGGCTCCATCACTACCTTCGGGAAACCACCTGTTTGTAGTTCTAGACTACTACAGCCAATATATGGAATGACAAGTTCTAAAGTCTACTACAACTGACAAGATTATCAGAAGACTCAAAAGTGTGTTTCTCACTCATGGTATGCCAGTGAGTATCACCACCGATAGCGGGCCAGAGTTCATAAGCCAGGAGTTTAAGGGGTTTGTAGAAGATGAATGTATCGACCATAGAAGGGTAACCCCGCTCTGGCCTTAGGCCAATGGTGAAGTCGAAACACAAAATCGATCCCTACTTAAGAGCATCAAGATTGCACAAATTGAGAAGAAAGATTGGAGGAAAGAGATCGAATCCTTTCTTGTCATACAAAATTTGTGCAATCTTTAATCGTATGTGGATGACTCAAAGCTATTCATCAGTAAAGGAGAGCAACTCGAACTACGACGGTAACTTTTCGAGCTTGTTCTGGAAGTGTCACATCGAGTTACCACGACACTCTTGGTAGATGAATAGTTACCCGATAAAACTAAACTCCTTTTCCTCGGTAACAGACAGATGTTAAGCAGGTTACCAGAAGACCCTAGAGTGGTATTCTTAGGTAAATCATTGAAGCCAACAGACTCTGGGAGTCTTTCTTGACCCCCATCTGACCTACGACCACCATATTTCATGTGTAGTGTCATCTTGTTTCGCAAAGCTTTGCCAAATAAATAGAGTCAAAAGGAGCTTCGATAAGGAAACACTAGAGTTGTTAATAACGTCATTAGTCTTTAATAAGATGCTTTAATGCTCATCTGTATGGTCAAACACTACACTCCAGAATATAAACAGATTACAATCTATTCAGAATTTTGCCAGCAAGATCGTAACAAACTCTAGGAAGTTTGACCACGTAACACCTTTGCTTCAAGAGCTAAACTGGCTTCCTGTTAAAGAACAATTATTCTATAGAGACTCCGTTTTGACCTTTAAATGTCAGAACGATCCCCGCCTCAAAACTTAACGAGCAAGTTTACCAAGCGCTCAAATATACATACTCGTAACACTCGTACACGGAACTCTTTGCAGATTCCGCTATACAGAACGGCTATAGGCCAGCGCACATTTTCCTACAGAGGGGCCTACACATGGAATAACCTGCATAATGAACTCAGGCAAAGTGCCTCATTGGCATCTTTCAAGCGCGCCACACACTATTGAGGCAGACATTTCCTTCATAAGCTCTAGAATTTAGTAGAATACCATCATAAATTGTGATTTCGAGTTTTTACTGTCATTTTTGCTTTTATAAATTGTAAATCGTTTGTAAATAGTTCCTGGAAAACCTCACGAGGATGTTACTATTAAAGTTATTTTTATTAAAAACTCCACACAGCACAACTGGTGTAAGCCCACAGAACTCAGGTTCTGAAGGAAGTTGAGGACCCGGATTCCAGGAATCAAAGAGTTTCAAGTGGACGACCAGGAAGTACGAGACAGAGATAAGGAAGCCAAAGAAAGAGGAAAGCTGTATGCTGATGAGAAACATGGCGCTTGTGAAAGTGGCTCCTGCTGAATGTATCTCAGAACCTGGCCCAAGTTTAGTACAATATCCCGTAAGGGCCAAAGCTACACCAATCCGGCTTAAAGACTTTGTTATGTATTAGATTACTGATAAAGACGCTCGTTTTTTTCAACTTTGAGAGATTAATGATTTTTATCTTTCAGTTTGTATGCAAAGAACATTGAAGTGGTTGGGCACTTTTCCATTTTCCATATCTCATGTTTGGAATTGGTTAAAGATAGTCTTTAAAAAAAAACCTTGAGGAACGTTTTTAAGTGATTTTACAACTTCGCAAAAAATAAGTTTAAATAAGCTTTTGTTCCAAAGAGGGGAAGGATTGTAGTGTATTACCGCGGTATTGGCCATTAGAGCATGCACAGTAGATTGTAAGCAGGAGCTAGTTGGCGGGTATTAAAAGCGTGTCTTGGTTCAATCTGTCTGGGCGGGATACCACAGCAAAGAAAATTGGTTATTTAATATATATAATTTTAGGACTAGAAAGTGTAAATGTAAGTTAACATTTTGTTTTCTAGATATTGAATAATGATAGGGTGCTAAATTTTGTTTATTGAGGCTGTGCTATATTATTACATTCATTGCTGTTAATACATGTAGGTACATCATTTTGAATATCAGTACAGCTAGTTGGCACACTATCACTCTTCAGAGTTCCAGAGCTCTCCTTTTGTGATGACTCAATTGCTATGTTGGGTTTGAAACTTGAACAGAATAATAATGCAGGATAAGTGTACATGTCGTTAAAGCAAACAGTCTTGACAAGCATAATTATGGTGATTACTTATGTTGCAGATAAAGGGCCACTCCAGAGCTTGCTGTTGATTTTTGTCTTACACAATTAACTCTCCCCTGCAGAAAAGTTAAAAACCTACTTAGGCTGAACTGTCAATACCTACCCTGAAATAATTATAACAACCTGTTTAGCTTGACTTCTAAAAATCTAGGTTCTTATATGTTTGCATTTACTGCAATAGTTAATTGTATGAATTACGAAGCTGTTTGACACCAAAATACTACAATGTTACTTTAGGTGGCAGAAGAGGCGCCATTAGTATAACACTGGACCATGTGTTGCAGTTTGTAACCGGAACGGATGAAGAACCTGTGCTGGGGTTTGAGCTGCTTCTGTCACTTAACTTCACAGAAGTGTCAAACTCGTTTGTTCCTACGGCCTGCTGGTAATGCCTGCAAAGTTGACTCGGGTCCTACTTCGCAGGTACTCCGGGTGAAAAGACTTGTAAAGAGCCAGGGCGATGTCACAGTTAGTGGCATATGAGAACCAGACTTAATGATCCAAAGTGTTCAGTAGCGTTGTATTTGTTGCTGTTGTTGAATAGTTACATTGTGTAGTTCCAGAAAATATCCATATCCCCCACGGAGGGCACTTGTACTTTAGACCCCCCACCCCCCCTGGAATTTCCATTCCAGGGGGTGCTTGTCATACCCCGCCCCCTCAGGAATTTCTGTAATTTTTCAACTCGGTTAGGTACCCTCTGGAAAGAATATTTTCCGTCTTAAACGCTGTTGTACTATATTATTACTCGAAAAAATTTTTTCTGTGACAAAATAAGACAAAATCTTTTTATTCATGTTAATACAGTATTTAATATCTCAAGGACTTTCTTAGCTACTAATTAACCATGGAGGCGATACCTTACACTATTGACTGCACGAATAATGCCATCTGCAAAAAAACCCAGTTACATTCAAACTAAACACCACGTGAACTTTCAGCTAGAACATGTTACAAGAAGGCTTAGAACACGACCAAATTACGGTGAATCAAACGTGTGATAAGGCAACAGCTAGATAATAATAATAATCCTTGTTTTGAAACAAAGGTTAACAGTAAAATAACTGATAACTTGCTCAGCAGAAAAGTTGTTATTCAACATATAGATTTATCCAGGGCTTAAAGCGAAGCTCTCTTAAATATTTATAGTTTCCTCAAAGAAAATATAAAATTGAGTAATACTAAAGAACTTAAAGACTAGGTAAAAACAACAAGAACGGTAAGGCCCGGTTCAAACGTCGAACTTTTCATGAGCCGAACCTAATAGCCCCAATTAAGTACATGACGAGATCGACGTTTGAATAAATTAAGTTCAACAGATGTTATTTGGGTCGACCCGAGAATTAAGTTCGACATGGCCAGTCGGTCAGTTCGACTATGGAGCGACTCCGATTCAAACGTCGAATTTTTCATGTACCGAACCTAATGCATAAATTATTATAATACATTTTTTGATCCCACAACCCCCTTCTG